GGGTATCACGTTTAGATCTCCATACTTGGTTTCAGGACCACCAGCACACGTCACCAAGTCTGTGCTTTCTGTGAGCCTACAGTAATATTTAGGTAGGACCTGGTCAAGAGCTCTAGAGATACCAAATTGCAGTTCTTCCAGAATTTATGGCCTGATTGAGCACTGACAAAAGGCCAGTGTCCAGGAGAAATATTCTCTTGGACCTTGCTATTTTCTCAGATCACAGTTTGACCTCAACTTCCAACATTTAACTTTGTTTATAAGTCCTTCATCTGGAAAGTGCCATTTCCCCAAGTTTTATCAAAATACAAAACTTGTGCTTTGTGCTCCATAAGAATACAAAGTGTATCTGTAAGAAAACTCAAATCTTATATTCACAGCTCCAAAATTTTACATTACATGTGGTATCTTGATGTTATGGATAAGGCTAGGAACTACAGGTAACTGTAGGAATGACAGGAAATGTATTGCAGTATTTAAACTGAGATTTTAACTTAACTGAATGGAAGAAAAGTGACTGAACATAATGTTAAATAAAATATATATCCAGGTTTAGTTACAGCAAAAAAGTCAAGTCAAAATAGATGGGTGCACAAAATGTCAAATAGATCTTCTAGATGACAGAAAAAGATGTTTAAATTCTAAATCTGTTCCAAAGAGGCTTGATTCTAAGCTGAAAGAGTTTAATATTATATACTCAAAAAGCAATAACTTCATTCCTCTTACAGCAAAGCATTGGTGAAAGTAAGTAATTTCTAAATTTAAATACAGTATTGTTAATACTAATTTGTGCTTCATATGCTTCAAATCATATATAGATATAGGTTAAATGTGATGAATAAAACTGAAAACACCACACATAAAACATACAGTTCACTAATACTAGAAGCTAGTTTTGTTTTATGGATTTACTTTTGTCCAGGGTTACTGATGAAAGGTGGAATTCCGTGAAACTGATATTACTCAGTAACAGTTGGTGAATCAAATGATAGTTCGGGCTTTATATTTATTCTTAGTACCTTAAATAGCTTGTCTGCTGAATAATTCAGAAGAATGAACTGGTAGCATAAAATTTACATATTTTTCAATTTCTGTGTAAGTATAGGCTCAAAGTGTGAATAAAAGCCAACTAAAAATGTGATAAGTGTAATGTGTATGTTTTTAGAGTGAACACAGTTATTTTTCACAAATTCCATTAACTCTCTCAGCATGGGCTTTTAAATAGCAAATGTATCTTCATGAAATTTTGCATATTATCAGTAAACATTACAAGGCTTTCGTTTGAAAAATATTGGGTTTATTTATCAAGTTTGAAGACTTCTTAAGTAATATGTTTCTCATACCTTTTTTCTTTTCGAATGTTGGCTATCCAACATGCAAAGTATTTTTGATTTTAAGATTAAAAATTCTTTAATGTATCAGAAAATTTTCAAATTTCACATGCAAAATCTTTATAACCTCCAGATAATTGTGAAATGGTTTTTAGAAAAAACTTTGTCTTTTATCTGTTATTTTTGCTACTGTATCTCTTTACTGGTTGGGTCAATTTGACCAACTTCATAACCACCATACAATGACTGCAAATTTTAACATGAAAACACAAATGTTTATTCTAAATAGCTTAAATCTCATAACATTATACATTTATATATATTTATTATTTTTATTATATTGACCATTCAGTCATGCCTGGCTAACATTACAGAGTTGTAATGATGTGGTGCACATGCAATCATGTTACCATATCTAAGAATATAAAAGTAGCCTTTACAAGGTGACCTGTCTTGGCTGTGTTTTAGTGGGCTAGTATTTTGTAAAGTAGTCACATTTCTGTTATAATACTGTTGCGTCAGCGAGTCACGTGACTACTATGACGCAACGTTTCTAGAACTATCATGTACTTTGTCGAATGTTCAAGGTCTTACTAGAAATAGGTTACGCTGGTATAAAAGCGGGGAAGGTAATGTGTGTGTAGATAGTGAGGAATT